GTAAAGAGATTAATGTTTTCAGGTGAAAATTGAAGCAACTCTTTTTTAATCGGCAAATTTGCGGTTTTCAAAGAATGTTGGCATTTTACTTTTAATAGCTTTCCATCATGGTCAGATAAGAAAGTAACCAGACCTTCTACCTTCAAGTTAGATAATTTAATATTTTTTATCAAAAAGGTATCTATTGTTGTCTCCGATAGTTACTTGCCGATAGTTACTTATGACTAACTGTAAGCCGGTAAAAAACCAATAATTATTACAATTAAAATTATCTATTTTCCAAAATTAACTAAACTTTAAGTCAAAGCTAAAACATCAATTCAATCCACAGTCGAGCGTCGATCGGGAATTGTATTGTCATCACGTAAATCGTTGTGTCGTCTGTCTAGTGTCTACACTCTACACTACAGTTCCGCCATTGCTTGCTACACGAACGCACAACGCAAACGCAGACAAATACTTATTGCGGTCAAGGTTAAGTCGATACCGGCAATGGCGGCAATAGTCGCACATTGAACTTGAACTAGAGCTACAACGCAACCGAAGATATCAACACAAACAATAGAACTCTCTGTGGTATCACTGAATGCGAGAATTGAGAGACGTCTTGGCCGCCATATGCACCAGGGGAATAGTATAGTACTTTGGAACTAGAACTAGGTGATTGAAATTAAATGAAATGAATGAAATGATTGTGGGATTGCCAGTAGCCAATGAGCTGGTTTATTCTTCGAGAGGTACCAACATAACAACATTTTACAGCGTCTAGATTTTCTAGCAGAGTTGCTGAGCCAATGCTATCTTTATTTGGATGTTTTCAGTCCACGACTATTTCGTGTCGTAAAAAGCATGAGCGGTTCCCCGATTCCGTTTACTTATCAGACTTGGATACGATAAATAACTGAGATCGCACGATAATTTTGAGCCGGCATGAACTACGTGGGTTGTCTGATTCGGAATTCAATGGATGATACGAACTACAAAACATTGACCATGGCAACTTCCTTAAAAATATGAGTTTTTACATGGAATAGGTATCAAGAATCGTGAGTAATATTTCAGAACTGGTATACACAGGGTTGTCAGCAGGATCTATAAACGAAATTCACACATTTTTCCCGGTTTTCCCGGCTAAAAAGTACGGAATTCCCGGCGTCTATTATACTTATAAGAATGGCACAACACAAGTTACACTTATCAGTAAATTAAAAAAAGCAAGCCAAATTGCCCAAGGGACTACGTAAGCCCCGACCAATGAAACGGTGAACACTTCGTGACACATAATTAATTAGTGACGCACTGGTGGTCGGGCGGGTAAGGGGTAGCGCGGTGGGTTATTATGGGTGCCATTTTGATAACATCCACTCATAATACTATATTTGGCTAATAATTTGCTCCGAATTATCAGGGGTTATAAACTCTATTACCTTAAACATTAATTGATCAAGCTAGTACAGTAGGCTAGACTAGTCATTTGATCAGTTTCAAACTCAAATAAAGGCCACTCTTCTTACTTGTGTGTAATAGTTTAATAATGCTTATAAAAGGTTACTATAAGGTTGTATTACAGAGACATACCTCACTGCCACAAAAACTATTCTTTAATGTGAATGAATGAACTGAGTGTTTATTTAGTGTGAAGCCCCGCCCACCGTCTAACGGGACATGGGGTAGGAAAAGAGAAAGTTTGCTCTAAAGAAAGCCTGGTTCACATGCCCTACCTTACCCTTGGCATCAGTCGCTTGCAGATTTCCATTACACAAACGTTTCTGAGTGTTAATTATTTTAAAACACTGCAAATGTTTGAATTTGACTGTGATGAGGTCTAATAAAGTTTCCTCTAATTTATAAATAGGCTTAGGCCTACAAGTATTAATTTAATCTAAGTCATTTGACAGTTTTTGTATTTATTTTTAAAAGCAATTGCAGTTATACTTTTAAAAAACTACATACATCTTGACCTATAAATACTTTTTGTAAGGAGAGTCTTTTCTCTATAAGAAGTAAAAACAATCGTGGTCAAGGAATGACTGTGTTAAAACAGCACACTGTCAATTTTTACAAAAGTATTTTGACTGAAACCTGGTATTTTTTAAAGAGTTGTAGAATAAGTCGACGTCTGTGGAGTAAAGTATGGCAATAGATAAGTTTTACTTTTAGCCTACAATAAAGATTATGTTTAGGGACTAGAATCTCCAAAAGAGTGCTTTTATAAAACATGCCATAGTTTTATTTAGTAACAAAAGTGTTTGACTATGTTCCCGATGATACCAAGAGTATAGGTTCGGCAGAGTGGATTCACTGTGAACCGGCCTGCCTGGCCCTTATGCACGACGTCACTATAACTTCCGTGTAGGGGTGTCAAAAATGGATCGTAACAATCGATGTTTTGAACCTGCCTGTAACTAACCATGTTTTTGCTCCATTGAAACACGAAAGTCGATTGGCTGACATGGTAGTGCATTGTCGCCTCCTGACCAATGAGAACTGTTGTTACATACTTTTATTGTCAACATTCACCATTCGTTATAACATTACAAAATCTACATGGACTAAGGCTTATGATATTTTTCAATAAATGCATTGTGTCATAGTAGCACTTAAAACTTCACTAAACTCTTTAATCAGGTAGATAGTACAGATAAATATGGACCTACTTTTTGGCGCAATATAAAGCAAGCCTAACCATACGACGATGACGATGTTAAAGTTTAATGGTTGAATATTGCAGGGAGGAAACTGAACATTTCGACTTCAGCTGTCATTTCGACAGCTGTCGCTGTCAGTGAAATGGATGACGCAAGCGATGCCTAGGTTGCTGATTATTATTAGGCCTAGTATGTCAATATTGAAAGGGGTTAAGGGATTAAATAAAACTCAAACATTTTCCTTTCTTATTATTTACTTGTCAAACATCAACGAAATCAGCTTAACCTCTACTACTTGACTCGAGTTGCGAGTATACTTAACTAAGTGCTTCCGGCGACCGGCGGAGTCGGCTTCCCGCGTAGGCCTATTCATGGTGGTAGGTACTGTACATCCAACTTACCTTCTGCTTCTTCCGAACCATCGCCACTCGCCAGTAAACCGTAAATTTTGGTTTACTATCAAATCAATCAAGAAAGTATTGCAAAACGGTTTATAACTGTTAAAATTACTTGAAAAAAAAACTGTATTAACGATATCAATTAAATTCACGGAATAATACGATTTTCACGCATATTTCCCGGTTTTTTTCACAGCTGTTAAAATTCAAGCATAATTCCCGATTTTCCCGGAATTCCCGGCCGCTGACAACCCTGTATACAGTAGAATCGAGAAATTCTGTTATCAGCCTATCCCTCTTTAAAATAAAATTAATATTCGACTAGGATGATTTCAAGCCATGCCTTGAGTTTTGAGACTGAGTTTGGCTTTGTTCCAGCTATGCGTAGATCGACACTGCTGCTACCCTGCTACACGCTTCACCTTATTATAGAGCTGACGGCGAGTCAGCGTATTCTGATGGCGGACCCGAGATTCGATTCTCGAATCTGGTTAATTTATAATCTGAATCTTCCGTAAATATAAATTCACTATAAAGTTTGTCAGATAAATTGGCTCAAAATTATTAGAACTATAAAATTCCTTGTTAATAAACGAACATAATGATAATAGTTTAAGTTCATTGAAAATCCCTGAATCATACCATTTTCCTGCAAATTTCCCGGTTTTTTCACAGCGGTTAAAATTCACGCATAGTTCCTGATTTTCCCGGAATTCCCGGTCGCTGACAACCCTGAGGGATGAAAGGGATTGAACTTTGAGTTTGGGACGGGACAGGATTTTTTTCTACAGGCAAAAAGGCTTTTTTAAAATTTTGCTTGAGTATACATTGCATACATTAAAAATGACGAACAAAAAATCAATTTTTTCCTTTGCGGCACTGATTTACAAAAACCAACATTTGGTAAAAATAAACAGATAATGCAAAAACCTTTGATTAAAAAATTCATTGTACTTTAAAAAACTGCTGAATGATTCTGACAATTCACCTTTTCTGTATGTACTAACACATGTAAAGAATGTTATACGCAAATAAAATATGTCTATGTCTATGTCTGTGTAGAGTTTTAAGGCCCGAGTTCGCGACGCCGTTGTGGACATGTCTCACGGTCACGGCGCCATTGTCAACATGTCCCGCATTTGCGGTGCTATCGTAAACTTGTCTCGCGGTCAAGGCGCCATTGTCAACATGAATTGCGGTCCTGGCGCTAAAGTGAACATGTCTCACATTCACGGTGCCATTATCAGCATGATTTGTGGTCACGGTGTCTTCGTCAACATGTCCTGTGGTCACGGCACCATTGTCAACATGACCAGCATTCGCGGCGCCATTGTAAACTTGTGCTGCGGTCACAGAGCCATCATCAGCAATTCAACATGTCCCGCATTGGCGTTACCTTCGTGAACTTGTCCAGCAGTCACGGTGCCATCGTCAACATGACTCGTGTTCGCAGCGCCATCGTGAACTTGTCCCGCGATCAAGGCCCCATGGTCAGTTCATGACACGGGGTCACAGCGTCTTCGTCGACATGTCCTGCGTTCACGGCACAATCTCGTGGTCCGGTCAGGGTGCCATCGTCGAAATGACTCGTGGTTACGGCACCATTGTCAATATGTCCCTCGTTCGCGGCACAATCTTAAACATCTCCCGTAATTACAGAGTCATCGTCATTACCTCCTGGGTTCGCTGCATTAAAGTGAGCTTCTCTCGCAACCACAGAGGCATAATCATCGTCAGTCGCCATGCGACGATATCCCCGCACTTGCGAAAATGGCATCATCGTTACTCGTGACGCGGCAAAATAGCCGACGATCACATCAAATCCCGTCCCAATAAAACCCTGATTTAAATGTAATCCCGTACCGATGATTGGGAGTATTTTTTCCCTGAAAATTTCATGAAATTTTGGGACCCGTGAATCTATAATTTTTTACCACAATAATACATAACTTACGTAGGAGTAGTCGATTCTTCATTTGTGACTTCTTTTCGTAAACTTTCTTTTTTTGCTTTCTCTTTCTTCTCCAGCTCAGCAAGAGCAGCGTCCATTTTAGAGATCATCTTGTTAACAGTCTTGGACAGTCTCTTAGCAGCCTTGGACTCCTTCACCTCTAAACCTTCATCAGACTGTTTCGCCAACTCTGATACCTCCTTCAAATTCTGTACATCCTACAAAAGTTTTTAAATCATTGCATCACTTATTTGATTAACAAATTAATGGAACTTATTTCACCACTAATAGCCTAATACATTTATTGACACAGTAGGCCAACATAGATTGTTTGGTTATTTAGGAAATGATGATGCATATTGATTTCACTGTAACTCCACATCAGGAATTCCACATTATAAATACTAGCTGTTATCCACGGGCTTCACCCTTTTTGACTTCATAAGTATTAATAAAACTATTGATTGGTTTTGTTTAAGGAAAGGCTCTAGGCCAGGATTTTAAATGGTAGAAAAAGGAGGATAGCAGCTAGCTTACCTTGAAAGTGTGGGTAGGCCATAGAACAAGTAGAAAAATATTTTGCACACAATATTTCGTCCCCTAAGGGACTTTGTCAAGTGTAGAGAGAGTTTATAAATTACAAGATGGCTGCTGTCATGGCTGCTGTCATGGCTGATGGCTGTTGTCAACTATGCAGGGTTGCCACATCTCATTAGTCTATTTACAACTATGTACACAATTTTATATATACACACACATATAATATTTTATATACAAACTAGGCCTAGTTTGCCTAGTTGACAACTCAGCCATCAGCCATGACAGCAGCCATCTTGTAATTTATAAACTCTCTCTACACTTGACAAAGTCCCTTAGGGGACGAAATATTGTGTGCAAAATAATGTCTACTTGTTCTATGGCCTACCCACACTTTCAAGGTAAGCTAGCTGCTATCCTCCTTTTTCTACCATTTAAAAACTATTGATTGGTTAAGTTAAGCTGAAATAAACAAAACAGAGTACAGTAATACAAACAAATAATCACACCTGATTAATAAGGCGATAAATTGAAAGAATAACATACAAATAAGTATAGCTGAGGCATTTTTAACATTAGGTATATTTAAAGTTCCGTTTAGAAAAGAATTAAGACCTTGAAGGGCAATTTATGAAATAATGGATAGTTTTGCGCAAGGTTTCAACAAACATTTCAAGTATATGTTTTGCAGGGGGGTGACTTGCAGTTTTCTCAAAAGTTTATGGGTACTTAGGGATTTATATATTATAAATATTCCAGTGAGGAAATATTACTTCAGAAACACTTGTAATAGGTACAACTTTTTCCATTCCAGCAATCGTGATATACCTTTGCACAAACTGTGGCTACATCTCTCAATTTGTACCGCCATTCGATTTGTTGATTGATGTACTTGTAACTACTATACTTTTATCACTATTTTCAGTACCAGTATCTCTGAATATTTTTCAGGCAAATAAAACATTTTAATTAATCAACCATTGTTTATCATTAGCTCTAGCTGTAAAAACACTGATTCATTTTTAGAATATGATTTCAATACTTTATGCAAATAAACAAGCTTAAAAGGCAATTGATACTCAGTTAATAGTAAAAAAAATACATACCTCTTGGTAATCTTTCATTTCTTCCTTTAAGTCGTCAAGCTCTTCTTTTTCTATTATCATCTTCTTTTTTCCCTTACCTACAGCATCTAAAGCATCTTCTAAAGTTTCACCGATATCTTTAGCAGATAAATCCTGAAACAAAAAGGAATAATAATATTTTATGTTAGTTTAACTTTATGTAACTGTTCAGTCAAGTTGCCTTTGTTTTTGTATTAATTTTATATGTCTTTGTTTTTAACAGTCCGTCTGTAATTCCCATCACATTACCATATGTCAATTTTCATTGTTGCATTCATTCGTCGCGAATCACCTCTCATATCAACACGTACACATTATTTCTCTCATAAATTATACTCTTTATACCAAAACCTCGACTTTTTCCTCTTTTTAGTATAATTACACCGCACAGTAACTTTTTGCATATAATTTACCACATATAACCTAATTTATCAGATAAAAATTCACCATTAAAAAATAAAATTTATGTTGTTGGTGATGTTTAAACCCAATACTCTACATCAATGAATGTATATCTTTATAAATGTATACGTATGAATATGTCTTCTTTATTATGAATGCAAGAAAATGAAATAATTGCTGGTTTAAAATCTTAATTGAATTAAAATTCATTATATTCTGTAGGTGTACATTATGGCAACTTGTGCTTGTGCAGTGCTATAATTATGTACAGATGACGAAAGAACAAAACTTGAATCGTACCGGACCTCAAATTTTCTATGCGACAGCAAACTAATAAAATAGCCTATGATTCTATTATGTTTTTACGTTATAATAGTTACATATGGAGGGATGATGTTAGAATGATTTTGGAGATGAAAAGCCAACATTAAAGAATAAAATTATTATTTTTACTAGTCAGGTTCTGTTTAATATGCGTACTGAGCTAAAATGTCTATCCTGTCAATTTATAAAGTTAATGACATTTCAAAGAAGCAAATTTGAGCTTTGTTACAATTATGGACACAAGTGTTGATAATCAATCTTAAGCCTCTTGTGTCCATATGTGATCCTCGGTAGGTACTAGAATATTCAACTACACACATTTTCTTTCAGGGGTTGACTATACATTTGAATTTAGAGGAATAGGCCTACCGAAACGTCAAAACACATAGTCTATACAAAAAAGTGGGGTATTTAATTTATAGTGATGGATTTAAAATTCAGAATTCGACCCAATTTAACAACTATAACAACAATTATCTGTAGTAGAAAGCAAATGATGGAGTGGTGAAGGATGTAGAGTAGGGTTTGTAGCTAGGGGTTTAGTTTCAGTAGGCCCACTTCACTTAAAAATAAACCTCTGGAAAGAACTAAATAGCTAAAATGTCTTATATAAATATATAATCTATATATATATATATATATATAATAAAATATATAATATATATATACAAGAACAACATAAAAAATCATAGTATATATATGTATATATATATATATATATATATATATAAACTAAATTATATAAATGATTCATACCTTTTCTTCTTTCGGTTTATCTGCTAGTACTGTTGCTTTGTCAGTCAAAATTGGTGCTTTGTCAACCAAAACTTCTACTTTTTCAGCCACCTTCAATAAAAATAGAACACTACAAAATCCTGATTGCTTATTTGTATGATATAAAAATTGTTAAATAGGTACTTCAACAAGTTAAATTACCTAACATAAATATATGAGGAAAATTATCAAATATTGTAATATTGTGTATCACAATAATTAACCAGCTCTAAAATCAAGGTTCCCACACAATAAATATATAGAGTAGTAATTTTTACTCGGTAAAGGGAGGAGGTTATCCACCTCTAAAAACGTTCTGTAGTTTTAAACCCAGAATACGTTGAAAAAGTCCAATTTAATAATAATAACATAATAAATATAAGAATTAAAATGTCAAGATTTTGCAGTATGATTAACAACTGCCTTCAATCATAATAGTGAAGATTAGGGATGGACGGGTCCCGAAATTGCGGGAAATTTTCGGGGAAAAAATATTCCCGATTTTCGGGACAGGATAACATTTGATTCGGGAATTTTTCAGGACGGGATTTGGTCCAATCGTCGGCGATTTTTCTGCTCCGCGAATGACGATAACGCAACGATCGCGATAGATGTTCCGCGAACGCAGGTGGGGAAGTCATACCGACGATCGTGCCATGACCGCGGAGTCATACCGACGATCATGCCGTGATCGCGAGTCATACCGACGATCACCCCGTGACCACGGAGTCATACCAATGATTTATATAGTAAAACTAAAAATGAGTGCTATAACTTTAAAAAATCACAAAATCTTAGAAGGTTACGTCAGAGTAAACGGTAGTATCTGGAATTCAAATGGTCGTTTCAAGATTACGATTTAAAAATTCTTTGATGGAATAAAATGGGTTTCTTATCAACAAGTCTTTTAGTAGGCTTTTGAATCTGTTTGTGTATTATTTTCTTTTTTAAGTGAAATCGGTAATTTTTGAAGAAATTTTAAGCCTGCATATGAAGGTTTTTTGGTATAGAATTCTAAATTATGTCTAGGAAGGTTAATTTGAAAGCGTGTGTTATATTTACTTGCAGTGGATAATAAATGAAATTGTTTTGCATAAATTATTGTCTCATAAATATACAAACTGTAAACTGTTAATACACCCAATTCAGGAAAGATATTTTTAACTGAATCTGTTCTTTTTAATTTCATGATCACTCTAATAGCTTTTTCTTGTTTTATAAGTATTTTATCCAAATTTGCCTTAGTTGTTGCTCCGTAAATGGCGATTCCATAGGATATGTGGGAATGAATTAGAGAATAATAGATTATCCTAAGAGTTTCCAAGTTGCAAACCTTGGACATCAGCCGCAAGGCATGAATGCCAGATGATAATTTATTTACTACATAGTTTATGTGATTATCCCAAGATAGATTTTCATCAATAACCAGTCCCAGAAACTTTGTTTGGTCAATTTTGTCCTGATCAATTTTGTCTGTTTTTATAAAAATATTAGGTTCAAATGCTGTTATTGATTGTTTAGTTGAAAAGGATATTAGATTTGATTTTGTTGTGCTGATAAGCAGATTTCTTTCATCCAAAAACTTTTTTATAGAGAGGAGACTCCTGTTTGAGGATTTTTCAATAATTAAATTGGATTTTAATTACGTAAACGTAAGACGACAATCGCGGTAAAATCATGAAAATTCCCGATTTTGAAATCAAATTTAAAACTAAATCCCGACTTTTCAAGACCATTTTGAAATTCAATACTAATTCCCGACTTTCCCGACTACTAGACACCCTGTTTTTATAGATAGTGTCACAAACGGTAAAAATTGATCAAGATTACCAAGGGACCCGTCCCGAAAATCAGGAAGGAAATAAAAATCACTTCCCGTCCCGTCCCGAACTAAAAGTTCAATCCCGTCCATCCCTAGTGAAGATTATGTGTTACAATCAAATTCAATTATCATATTTTGTCACAGGCTTCATTAGCCACTGTTGTTACGGTAGGTAGTGAGTTTATTGAATACTCTAGGCCTATATCCATTTTATTTATTATAAAGAAAGATCACAACAACTTTGAATCCTTAAAAAAATCATGTAAGGGTTCAATCCATAGCTGAAAAAATATAAACATCAATTGTTGATTCCTTGAAGGTCAGAACTAATGTCATCCTATAGCCAAAATATTTGTGAGGTTTACTGATAGCATACGGCCGGAAATACAGACAGTAAGATTGGGTACAAACCTTGGTTTCCTCTTCCAGTTCCTTCTTCTCTTCTTGTATCTTGGCAACTTCTTCTTGAATCAAATCCAACTGAGCCTTGTTATCAATTTTTCCTTCTCGTTCTCCAATAGCTGCTTTTGTTTTGGTAGCCTGTGAAATGGATGTTGAACTATATAGGCTATTTTGTAAAATCCAAAAAGTTGCATAGTAAAGTATAAAACAGGAAAAAGGAAGTATTATAAAAAAGCATAGTTTAAAATCCCAATATTCAAGCAAGCCCTGTGCCTCATCAAGAATCTACAGTGAAGCACTGAACAGCTTGCAAGGTCAATAACCACTAAGTATCAGTAAAACATGTATCTACATTTAATTATTGTTCTGATGTAGTTACAAGTGCGGCTGAACTATTTGCTTCAGTAATCATAGATTTGGTGTGTGCTGAATATTTATGATACCAAGTTTTGCAGAATTATATCATTGCTCATTGGTCAATGCATTATATCATGCAGGGTATGGTCAAGAACTTAAAAAGTTTGTTATAACACAATAACCCGTTACCATAAAATTCAAGTTTAATTTTCAATAAAATCTGTTGTCCACAACTTTAATTTAACTTGAGGTAAAAAAAAACTAATTAATTCTTGAGAAAACTAATCTTTTATTCAGCACAAACCCCATGGATCTACATACCTCATTTACCTTTTAGGTCTATGGTTTGCTGAGTTTGTGAGGATAAAGTTTTATGACTGAGAGTATTGGTGTGCACTAGATGCTAACCCTTTATTAGTTAAAAGTAATCTTCATTACAAGATGCCTAGCCATTATTAAAATCTCTCGATGGGGTGTGCTCATCATATTTACAGCAAGAACATTGAAAATATCTTTTAAGTCTGAGAAGACAATACTCACAACAGTGTCAGGTAGCGCAGATATGGTGGCCACCAGTTTCTCCGTCGTAGTGATTGTCTCGGGGAGCAGGAACGCTCGTGACAGCAGCAACAGTGACGGAGGCACTTTCTCATTGAGACTGAGGTCCAGCCATTGTGACAGCTGCGCACGCAGTCTCTCTTCCGACATACCAAGTGCGCGCATACCTCTCGCGCGACACGCAGCTTGTAGCTCTACCTGTGTCAGTGACTCCACCCCCTCATCCTTTATCCTCTGAAAAATTCAGAAACAACTTGGTAAATTATCTTATTTACCTAAGGGCTTGCTACCCTCCCTTAGTAATAAAATTATAAAGAAAATATTTTGTTACAAAATTATACATATGGACTGATTAAAACTGCTTTAGCACTATTGGTTTTGCAGAATGAGGATTTATACTTGTTCAGTGAGAAGCAGTAAATTATGTGTTTATCGATGTGTGCATTGAGACACACCTGCAGTCAAATTTTTATGGCAATTTGGTAAGCAGATATTGTATCTCCCAATCATTTTTACTTTTTCTAGTAGTTTCTCACACTGTAAAAATGACAGAAACATGTAATTTTATAAAAAAAAGGATTTAAAACTTGTTTTGGTTTTAATTATGCAATTATTAAGTTGATTAAATATTAATTACAACTAAAGCAAAAAATCACTCATACTAATAACTAGAGGTGTGCGGATATCCGAAAAATCGGTTCGGATTCGGTTCGGTTCCTTCGGATATCCGTATCCAAACCGAGTCCAAATTTGATATCCGACACTATCCGTCATATACCCTACTTTTTTGAATAGACAACATATTTTGACGTTTTCGACAGAAAACACTAAATCTTCATAACCATCATTAGTTTCCCAGGACAAAATTACAGCAATACGTTCCCAACGACCTCACAGCAAACGACAAAGAAGCCGTATGATGCAATACCGATATCTAGTTTAGTCGTTATTGGCTGTTTTGCTTTACGATTAGATTCATCTGGAACGAACAGACATAAAGCAGAAAAGAACTACCATGGTCAAATGAAAGTCAACTCGTGCTTGTCTCCTGATACTAGGGGGGATAGTTTTTTTTACAGTACTGTTTTAAAGCAGAAAAATCTAGCCTACTACTATGCTGTTACGTAAACAATAGATTTAATGTTTCCTGAAAAAAATTCAGAATAGAAACAATAGAAAGGCAACACAATAGGGTGGGAGGGGTTGGGCAATGACCTCGAAAGGAGCGCGGGTAGCAACAGTGAGTCGAGTAGGATGGGAGAGGGGAAGGAGTGAGTACGACCTTGAAGCTATATAATAGACTTGCACTACTTCCCTAAACCTAAAGGACTGGCAATGGCGAGTGGTATTTTAATCACAGGACAGGATACAACGTTGTTTTCGAGTAATCATTGCCCGGTTTGACTTTGGATAGTCTTATTGTGTAGAAGATTTGAATAATCAAAGATAAAATTAGAACTAACCACGATTATTTAGCATTGATTGTGTATATTAAGTGATTGAGTAATAGGGACCAGGCGAAATATACAAACTTTTGTCATGATTTGAATTTCAACATCAAAATACAATATTGCACAATCATGATATTTTAGGTCATTGACCTTTATTATGCATCCGGTATTGCTGTTTCAGAAGAGAAGCACGTTGGTAAATTATAAATTGATACTCCCGTAGTTAAAAAGAAATATTTTATAAACCTATAAAACAAAATCATAAAATCTTACATTAAGATAATAACAATAAAAGCAATTGTAATAAGAGTATAAATATAACAACTTCATTATTCTTTCTTTTTGTTCTTCTATTTCTTGGGTTTCCCTTCATCACGCATTCCACAAGTTGCCATGGTTACTAACCACCCATGTCGTTATCAGCTTTTGTGACATAGCGCACAGCAGGGGGTAAAACTTGACAAAAATTGGTTAATTTTTACCTATTATTTAATTACCAATTTACATTGGAATTGGCAGATTTTTTTCAAATTTTACACCAAATTTATTGAAATTTCAAGGTGAATATCAATAAAACAATTATTACCAAATATTTTGATTAATTTAAAAGATTGATTTATGGTATTGGGTTCCCCACTGAGTGCAGCCAAGCGGCACTAATGAGGGTTGAACCGCCTTGGGGGTGGACAATAGACGGCTTATCAGACTCGACCCTCCCCAGTAGTCTGGAGAAAGCTTGTAAAAAACTATTGCACAAGCGTAACTTGACCTTGGGCTGCTTCAACTTTAATTTTGTCAAATGAACTGTGATGTCTCAAAATCAAAAACAATATTTTGGGACCATACTCCTTAACAATAATGGACTGCAATTGTTGAACATCCAATCTATTTTTAACAAACTAAGATTACAATTCAAATAAAATTTTAAAAATTATCTTGGTATTTTACTTGGGGTACTGAAGTTATGTAGGCTAGTGTAATTCTCGGTTCATCAAGGTTCTACTGAATTATGTTTGGCAGTGAATAAGTGTAGAATGAAATTTTTTAAATTCAGGGATACACACCTTTTACAGAGTTATAAAGCCTAATTGCCCTAATAACTTGCTGCAACATCAAATCGTGAGGTAGAGCCCAGCTTAGTGCATTTTAGTGATGTTTTCTAAACTTGGCAAACCCGCAGAATGCCACTTAAGGCCAATAATCCGTTACAAAAACGTAAGGAAATACAATGTGAAAATAAACTTGAGATAGAACTCCTTGTCTTGTGAGAACCAGGAAACAACATAAAACATAACCTCAAGTAAACAAGCCCAAACGTTTGACATCAGTCCTGCTGAGCTAAAGTGTTGTGTGAAGATTTCGGCTGCTAGTGTACTTAACTCAAGCTACCAACTTTTGAAAATAGGTGTTGTGAATTGTGATTTTTAAGAGAGAAAAAACTGTGGAGGTGGCTAATTTGAAATTCTATAATTCAAAATCGCCATTAAAGTTTATTTACACAGCTTTACAGTGTTTTATAGGTTAAAAATGCATATGCAGCTTATTATTAACCGCGCCGAACTATCCGAATCCGAAAATATCCGAGTCCGAACATCCCAATATCCGATCAGATCCGAACCGAGCCTCAACTATCCGATCCGAAATGAAATTTTACTATCCACACACCTCTACAAATAACTATCTATGAAGGCCTATTAACAAAACAGTTAGATTTTTTGCGACAAACATCACATCATGTTCTGTACAGAAAACATTTAAATTGTAAACATATGTGTACATTAATATTACTACAGAGAAATTAAAACAAAATATTGAATGGTTAATTAAAGCTGCAAGCCACAGCTTGACTCATACAACTCACATTAGACAACAAAGTAAGTTGGACTTGGACTAATAATGTAAACTTTTACAAGTCAAGGTTGATTGATAAACAACTTACAACATCGTCTGCAGCAAGACTTCTAAGCTTCATTCGCAGTTGGAAGCGGAGCAAATTCGTTGTACCAAATGGTTGAAGTTCAAGTACCCTGCATAATGCCATCAGCTGAGATCTTGTTAGTGAATCTAATGTTATTTCATCCTCAAAAAGCTTAGAAAACTTTAAAATTTCCTCATTGCTTGCAAGTCCTCCTCCTTCAGTTCTCACCTAGACAGACAACAGCACAAGGGCAAATATTGAAGAGTATAATATAAGCATCATTCTCATTAATAAATAAGTGCAAAGAAAACTTTAGCATACTAAACTAGGCTACTAATTTGAATTTTTTCAGCTAAAGTGAATGTTAAAAATAATAAAAGAGTCAAAACTCCAAATTTTGGGGTAACTTGTGGAATTTCAACAATACTAACCCAATTGGCTAAAAATGTGATTCTTACAGTAACATTATTGTTTTTCTTTCTCAAAAAAATTGTCAGTCAAACCGTTATTTGTTTTTAAACTAGCCTACCACATATTTCATACTTTTCCCAACTTTATCCATATCCAAACAATTAACTAAGGATGGACGAGTCCCAAAATAGAAAGGTCAGGAAATTAAAAAATTATATATATTAACTAAAAACCGAACGGGATTACATAAAATTCAGGATATTCTCGGGGCGGGATTTGTTCCAATCCTCAACGATCATGATATATCTGCGATTGCGGGAGACAATGACGATCTCTCCTTGATCCCAGAAGATGTTCATGATTGCATTGCATATGCAGGAGCTGTTGACGTCAACGATGGCACCACAAAAATAGGTAGGTTGATAATGGCGCCGTGATAACGCAACGATGGTGCTGCTATTACGAGACTTGATCAAGATATTACCATCGACGTGCAACATGTTGACGAAGGTACCGTGATCTTGGGAGATGTAAGTCATGATAACATAGTTATAGGTACACGTTATTAAGATTTCGTTATTAGTAAAGGTAATACTGTACTAATATAACTTTACACAGTTTAAAAAAATATAGTGATGGTCAGTTTTAATACCTGTTTGTGGTTAGCTAGTGGTGTTTTATGATTGAAGTTTCTTTAACTTTTCTTACCTGTGTACTTTTAACCATTATTGGTTTTTATAGAACAGTGACAAAGAAACTGTGAATTTGTTTTTGTTTCTCATTATCGCTATCTGCAAGAATGTTTACTCAAGATTTTTACAATAAATATTTTTTGCAAGGAAAAAATCCCATCCTGTCCCTAAATATCTAAGGGAAATAAATATCTCGTCCCTTCCTATCCCGAACTAAAAGTACAATCACGTCCATCCCTAAGATTAACATAGAGTATCCTACTGATGAGTTGATTCACAGAATAAATAACCTACCTTATGGAAGAATTCCACAAAGTCTTTGGCAGCTTTGGAACTATGACCTTTGCTAGTAACAGCCATTTCATCCAGAGTCTGCTGTAAGAACTTGGCCATCTCCAGCTTCACTTTTAGTGACTGCTTCATTTTATCTTCCTAAAAAACATCAAATAAATCAAAACAAACGATGTTAAAATACAGAAAAACACACCATAATGTACTTGAACCATGCTGAGTTGTTTCTTTTTTTTCTCTTCATATTTAAACACAAATAAAATAATAATAAATAGTAATAGTATACAAAATAAGTGAGTAAAGGGGCTGATTTTTAGTAATAATGTTCTGAATCTTAAGACTTACTACTCACAGCTACTAGTCACTGCTTGTGGTTTTAGTTGATGGAGCTTTATCTTTAAAATCTTGGGTCTGCCCCAAAATATTCAATTAAAATCCATGGGAAACATTGTGTTTAATGGTACAATATTAGGTAAAATAGCATTAATTTATAAACTCTCTCTCTTATAAACTAAGCTCAAATTTAATATTAAACATAGCGTAAATATATGTTTTAAGTGTTATAAGACGTTTCTTTATTTACTTTTTGTAAATTTAGTAGATATAAGTACAGGGTGTTTATAAAAGAATGCCGGGATTTTAAACGGTCGTTGCTCGGGGACTAATCAAGATAATTAAATGATTTAAAGGTCAAAATGAAGGGAAAAGAACTATGTTTTTTCTCATACTATTATACAGGGTGTCCATAAAAAACGTTTCAGGACTTTGGGAAATCAATCATCATACTAAAAGAAAGAAAAAAGTTTATGTGAAGGTATGTCTGAAAATGCATATTTAGTTATCTGCCATTTTGTTTTTATACAAAAATATTTTTATCTGTGAAGTTTTTCATTCGATGATTATGAAATTTTGTAACCATGTTAACATACACAAGACCTATTATAGAAAAAATAATAAAGTTGTTCCGATTTTTAATTTCAAAATGGCTGCCATTTTAATTTTTCTAACTGAAATAACTCAAAAATGGCTAATTCTATGAAGAAATTTCATGAATACTTTTTTTTTGCATTTTCAATTCCCTATCAAACGATACCAAGATCAAAAAGATCGGATAAAAGATAACTCAAATATTAAGTTTTTTGTGCAAAAATAAGGCAAAGTTAGTCGGGAACCCTTAATTTTGCCTTATTTTTACACAAAAAACTTTGTATTTCAGTTATCTTTTGTCCGATCTTTTTGATCTTGGTATCGTTTGATAGGGAATTGAAAATGCTAAAAAAAAGTATTCTTGATATTTTTTCATAGAATTAGCCGTTGTTGGGTTAGAAAAAATCAAATGGCTGCCATTTTGAAATTTACAATCGGAACAACTTTGTTATTTTTTCTCTTATAGGTCTTGTGTATGTTAACATGGTTACCAAATTTCATAATCACCGAATGAAAAACTTCACAGATAAAAATATTTTTGTATAAAAAACAAAATCGCGGATAACTGGGTAAATATGCATTTTCAGACATACCTTCACATAAACTTTTTTCTTCCTTTTAGTATGAGGATTAATTTCCCAAAGTCTGAATCGTTTTTTATGGACACCCTGTACAATTTGGAACTATTGAATAAAATTCATATTTTCATCAATCTTATATGAGCGTAAAACTGGCTAAGTCTGTACGATTAGGGCGATCGGCGGTTTATCTGACGTCTTGACTGATTCTTTTTAGGCACAAAGACTGTATCTTTTGCAGATAACATCATGAAGTGTTTAAATAGGTATGTTCAACTGAAGAATTCGTTGAGCAATCGATTTTAGGGGCTACTGATGCAGATTTGACGGATTTCTTCGACTATGCCATCGCTTGTATTTAGCCGACCAGGTGAATGTCTTTTCAAAACCCTACGGTACCACAAAACTCATTGAACCAGTGTTTAATGTACTTACCAACAAGTAGTTTTAAATTAAGGTTAATTGAGAATCGATATAAACTCTGTGAATCACAGATTACACTCTGTGCCTTCTGTTGCGCCGTAAACATTGCACTGGCGACTGGCGTCAGGCGTGTGTACAATAGTCTCAATAGCGGCCTACCTGTTTAGCCTGTTTAGCACCTGTTTAGCGCACACCAAGGTCAAAATTTCCTCCCTTGCTACACAGGAAACAAAACCTAATTATTTTAGCTTCAATTTGACGTATAAAACGTTTAGTTACCTAGAATAGTACCCAAGCAATTACTATTTAAAATCCCGGCATTCTTTTAAAACACCCTGTACATTTAATAACACTTGAAACTTATATTTATTTACATTTATACTGTTCACTCACAAGACAGTAAGTACATTGACATAAAATGAGGTTACTAAACTGTGTTTATGTGTGAAGTAATTCTGAAGAAGGCTAGTGCAAGAGGATATGTTTGACATATGACGACTGAAGAGAATATTTGAAAATGGGGTTTTAACCCTGAAACTATAGTCATCCACGACAATATAGGACTGATTGACGACAGGTTAGTAACCTCATTTTATGTCAATAAATCAATCTTGGAGGAAAATTATGTATATAGTAAATACATGTACAAGATGGTAAGAATGGTGAAGAGTGGTGATCGATTTCACATTGGACATTCCTATCATCATCAGACCCATTATGCAAAAACTTTGATGGCATCCCTACTTATACCCTATTGGCTACCGGAAGTTCCAGGCAATAAGTTTCTATAAGTACAACTGGTGTCAAAGTTTACTAGTTCATTATTTAGCTTATTTCCATCTATATATTAAAAAAATATCGGTTTTTCTTTTCCGAGTCCGTCCGCCTCTTCTACCCGACCGAGTTTCATGATAGACAATTCTTCCCAAGCACTCATCAAATTTCCTTCCTAATAGTTCTTTGAAATTAAAATACAATTAATATTGTCCTCCACTTTTCCTAATGAGTGGAGAAGTGTTGTGCGACATTTGATCTTTCCGGCTTGTTGTTTATCTATGTAGATATGGGGTTTTTGAAACGTTTAACAAAATTTACAGTTTGTCTAATGTAAAGCTACCACAATCATTGCAATTTATTTTGTAGATACCCAAGGTTTCGAATTTGTTACAATCTTTCATTTGTAGATGTAGTATTTTATTCAAGATGTTTCGAGTCCTGAATGCTAAATGTGGCATTCCAGTGTTTTCCTCTTTTATTTCTTCAAGTGTTATCATGCTGTGTAACATGGCTTGAAGTTTAGTTTCATGTTTTCACCACATTGCTGTACAGAAGGATTAGTTACAGGTAACCAGACAAAAGTTAAAATTTGGTTTATGAACTTGCCTTTTCAGTAGACGTCTGGAATGTAGAAGGGAGCATGCCAGGGAAAAACTTGATAAAAATTGGCAAAAGCAGTTCCATGAATGGGACAATGATAAATATTGAGAATGGAACTAATCTGAACATGTCTCCAACAGTCCTTATCAGCTGAAACAGATAAAATGTCAGTTATAAAATAGGCCCTAATAGAACATTAACTGCATAACTTGATCCATCCAACATTAAGGTGAGTGCGCTCATGTTTCATTCCCTGAGCACCAAATAGTTGATATAGTGATAAACTATTTGTTTTTTTATTGTCGATTTCCAAGCAGGGATGTCCACACATTCGTCACTTTCTAAGCAGCCTGTTTGTTGCTACAGTGTGTAGGAAACAACAAACATGGGGGGAAATGATGAGCATTGACGTTCACTGAATGATGGGTAGACGTACAGTGTACGTAGGTGTACGTCAGCTCGCCGCTCAGCAAATGCCACATGTTCGGACCAGCCTTTATAATTTCTGTAACTAAAAAATACAATGATACTAGCATTCTTCATGTTAAAAATAAAAATAAAATTCTTTATTGTTTAAACATGACAATATATTTAAATTGAACTATAGTTTGGGGTTGGTCAAATTTTGTTACTGCCTCTTACCACAAAAGAAAAAACCTGTTTATAGTATGTATAGGTCAACAAGTTAATATAAAAGGAAAAATATACAAATCACTAATTTTTCAGTAGCTTAATAGCTTTATAGTACAGTGTGTAAATTAAGTCTGGCATTGAGATCTGGATTGAAGAAATCAATTTCGGGACTGATTATTAACAAATGTTAGGCACTTTTTACAAATTTTGAAAATAAAAATTCCCTTAAGGGCAAGGGGGTGGGGGGTAGCTAAAAATTTTCAAATGACAAACCCCATCTTGTGACCCCTCATTTTAAAGGTCATTGGAAGACAAATCCAAAGATGTGTCTAAAAACTTTTTCGAGCACCCTATCCAAGATGGCGGTTTCAAATGTACTTAGGGTTGAACGGGCAAATTAGGTGTGGCACACATTTCTTATCTTTTTTACTCATTGTATATAGAAGGAATTAATTTGCGGGACTGAGTAAGAACAAATGTTTGGCACTTTTTCATAATTTTGAAAAAAATTTCCCTTAAGGGTAAGGTGGGGGTGGGGGGTAACTAAAAATTTTCAAATGACAACCCCCATCTTGTGACCCCTCATTTTAAAGGTCATTGGAAGACAAATCCAAAGATGTGTCTAAAAACTTTTTCAAGCACCCTATCCAAGATGGCGGTTTAAAATGTACTTAGGGTTGAACGGGTAAATTAGGTATGGCACACATTTCTTATCTTTTTTACTCATTGTAGATAGAAGGAATTAATTTGTGGGACTGAGTAAGAACAAATGTTTGGCACTTAAGGGTAAGGTGGGGGTGGGGGGTAACTAAAAATTTTCAAATGACAACCCCCACCTTAAAGGTATTTGGAAGCAAAATTTAACGATGTGTCTGAAATTTTTTTTTGCATTCTGTCTAATATGGCGGCTTAAAATGTACTTAGGGTTGAACGGGTAAATTAAGTCTGGAACACCTTTTTTTCCTTTATACTCTAATGTTTGATAGTGTAAAAATTGATTACCAATACAATTAGAATACCAAATAATACAATAAAATAGAATACCAAATAATTACAATAATACTACAACCCTATAACAACAAAAACACAATTGCCATCAAAACTAAAAGAATTCCTAAACTAAATAATAAATGTAATTGCAATAATCAACTTTACGTACTTGTTAATATTCACAAATGCTCAAACTGATGCCCAAGAGAAACTTGACAGAGCCCCAACCGATTGTAAAATTCATTTACCACCCTGGACAGCGTTTCTTCATTAATAGATCGTGCTTCCATTATTATTCTTGCTGTGAGGTCTTGGATGTTTTCTGGGCGGTTTACAATACTCTACTTTTTAGGTGGCCCCACAAAAAGTAGTCTAACGGTCGGATGATCTGGTAGGCCATTCAATAGCTCCCCGCCTCCCTATCCACCGATCTGGAAAAACTTCGTCCAAGTAATTTCGGACTTCAGCGTTATAGTGAGGTGGAGCGCCATCTTGCTGAAACCAAATGTTCTCGTTGACAACATTTTCTTCGTCTTCCGGAGGAAACTCATGGGCAATGGCAGGTACTATCGACTTTCGCAGTAACTCCTGATAACGGTTTCCGTTAAGATTTCCTTCGATCACGAATGGCCCTATTAATTTGGTCCCGACAATGCCTGCCCAAACATTGACTTATTGGGGATTTTGAGTATGGCATTCTTGAGCCCAATGCGGATTTTCAGGAGACCAATACCTATCGTTTTGTCTGTTCACATGGCCATGAAGACTAAATGAAGCCTCATCTGAAAATACAATTCTATTTTTGAAAATTGGATCCAAAGTACACCGTTGCATCATGAGTTCACAGAATTCAATCCTGCGGTCAAAATCGTCCTCGTTCAATTCATGAATTAACTGAACCTTAAAAGGATGAAACTTCTCGGCTTTAAGGGCTTTGTGAACCGACATGTGACTTATCCCAAAGACATTTCCAATCCTACGTGTCGATGTGTGATGATTTTCTTTAACGCTAAGAAGTATATTCAGTCTCGTTTCTTCAGTGAGTACAGATTTTGGCCTACCACTTCTAGGTTTACTTGCAACATCCCCCGTTTCAGCAAACCTATTACATATCTTAGATACTGTAGCTCGATTAATTAGGCGATCAGGGCACAAGTTGTTAAAAATATCACACGCTTCAAGTTGAGTCCGTTTTTTATCTCCATAGCCAACAATGACAAGTATTTCTATCTTCTGTTTTGTTGTTAACAAAGCCATGTTAAAATAAAAATAATAAAAGATGTACTTACGACTACTCCAAAGAAACTACCTATACAGACTGAAGGGGAATAAGGAAAAACTGATAAGATTGTTACCTGATTAGCCTGCAGTCTTAAGAAAGAGGATAGGAATTCCAAGTGAGTGCAACGTCCAAACCTGGAATCTCGATTATCAGATTTATTCACTAAGTGATAAGAGCTACATAAATTTGTTTATTGCAGTTCGTCCTATTGTCCAAGTTTTTCTGATATAATCTACCAAATCTATTATAACTTTATTTTTGGTAAAAAAATAAAAATGTGTTTCAGACTTAATTTACTTGTTCAACCCTAAGCACATTTTAAACCGCCATATTGAACAGGGTGCTTAAAAACATTTTTAGACACATTGTTAAATTGGTCTCCCAAATACCTTTAAAATGAGGGGTCACAAGATGGGGGTTGTCATTTAAAAATGTTTAGTTGCCCCCCCCCCCTTACACTTAGGGGATTTTTTTCAAATAAATAAAAAGGTGCCTAATTTTGGCTCAGTCCCACAAGTGGATAAGTTCTATCTATTAATGGCAAAAAAAATAAAATTGTGTTCCAGACCCCACCCGTTTAACCCCAATCACATTTAAAGCCGCCATCTTGGATAGGATGCAAAAGAAAAATTATCAGACACATCGTTAAATTTGTCTTCCAAATACCTTTAAAATGAGGGGTCACAAGATGGGGGTTGTTATTTGAAAATTTTTAGTTACCCCCCACCCCCACCTTACCCTTAAGGGGAATTTTTTTCAGAATTATGAATAAGTGCCAAACATTTGTTCTTACTCAGTCCCACAAATTAATTGCTTCTATCTACAAAGAGTGAAAAAGATAAGAAATGTGTGCCATACCTAATTTGCCCGTTCAACCCTAAGTACATTTTAAACCGCCATCTTGGATAGGGTGCTCGAAAAAGTTTTTAGACACATCTTTGGATTTGTCTTCCAATGACCTTTGAAATGTGGGGTCACAAGATGGGGGTTGTCATTTGAAAATTGTTAGTTACCCCCCACCCCCCCCCCTTGCCCTTAAGGGAATTTTTTTTTCAAAATTTGTAAAAAGTGCCTAACATTTGTTATTAATCAGTCCCGCAAATTGATTTCTTCAATCTGCTATAGAAAAAAATATAAAAAATGTGTGTTAATTTACACACTGTATAAACCTAATAGTAAACAATGATGTATGTTCTGACCCTTCCCTGGTCTGTGGTCAATTCATCAATTATTTTGCAGATGTTGTAGATGAAACTAAAACTTTTAATTTAGATACATCCTTAAGAAATGTTGATGACACTCTGCATCCTGTACTTCCATCAGAGAAAAGGAGCTTTAAATTTAGCTTTGTTGATGAGAGCGACATTGATAAAGTAATAAAAAAAGTCTCAAAAATTTTCATAGTGCTGAAAAGCTAAGTATTAATATTGACGGTATTTTACGTCATGCATGATAATGATGAGTATTTTAGTTAGTTTTATTCAATCACTCTTGACGCCATTCCTGTATTGATCCTGTACTGATATGAATAAAGTTATATGAAATGAAATTTTTAACAATTAGTTCTGAAAAACGCTTGCTAATAAAGACCTTTTTATTTATTTACAGTACAACAGAAAAGGACATACCGATGAGCAATGAGGAATACCATTGAGCATTGATTAATACACGGTTTCGCCATAGACAAAAAGAAATAAATATAGACTGTCAGCTGTGCTGCGGTTAGCGTATATTCCGGCGCCAACCGCTAGGGGTAATGTGTAGTTACGGCGCACACCACTGCATCATCAAGCGCTAGCGACCGTTTCCATAACAACTTGGTAGTTGGGAGTAGTGTTGCCAACTTTGGAGGAATTCACCGGAATTGGTGTTTACTGACTTCTTTAATATTAATCAATAAAATAATTTAAAATGCCATATTTTATTGTATTTTGTTAAACGTATATTTTTTTTACTTTTGTAGTTTCATTACAATGATTCAAAGTTTTTCTTTATTAATCCATAATTTTAGGAAGTAGTTTATTGGAAGGTTTTGTTTTATATTTGCAAGGTCAAAATCTAATTAACCAGGGTGTCTAGTATGCGGGGAAAACGGGAAAGTCAGGTATTAGTATTGAATTTCAAAATGGTCTTGAAAAGTTGGGATTTAGTCTTTATTTTGATATCAAAGTCGGGAAATTTCATGATTTTATCTCGATCGCGCTAGACACCGATCACGTTTCCGTGACGGCGCAAAACGATGATG